CCAATTGCAGTCGATTATTCTTCTCACATTCGACTGTGATTGGTCAATTTCTTACTCTTACAACCTAATCCACTACTGCTACTGTCATTGTAGACCACGCATTAAAGCGAACTGGCCAGATCCCAGCTCTTAAAACCTAATACTTAAAACTTTCGACCAATATAACCTTAATTTTCAGTCAATGATAGAAAAGTGTAACGGAAAACCAAGTATACTTCTCATTTTTTATACTTTGTCACAATGTCGGATATTGACGACAATGATAATATTGATATTGATGATGAGGTTTTAATTGCAATTGTGCAACAAAATCCTTGTTTGTATGCAAAAAGTGACGCGAATTATAAAGATCACGAAGTGAAAGAAATGAAGTGGGAAACGATTTCTGAGTCTCTGAATTGCACAGGTATAAGTTAAAATATTTTATTTCTGTTAAAAATACGAAACTGTCAAATATAGCTGTATAAATTTGTAGCCAATGAAGCTAAAAAGCGTTGGGATTCCTTGAGGAGTCAATTTAGCAGGAAGTTGCAACAGCAGAAAATGCAGCCATCAGGTTCTGGTGTGATGCCAGAATGGCCCCTTATGTCATGCATGTCATTTCTAAAATCTCATATTCAAAACAGAAAGTATGTATATATTTAGGTAATTATTTTTCTTATATATATATATATATATGTATATATACATATATACAATTAGTAAATTACTATACATACTATTATTTCTTTATCAAGTTAGATAAATACAATCAGAAATATTTATAATTATAATTTAAAGAGTACAGTTATGAAGATATCCTCATAATTTTATTGTTTGATTTGCATGCTGTTTATAACAAAGTATAATACATAATAATACATTTATAATAATTTTATTTTGTGCATATGTAGGACAAGAGGCTCAACATTATTACGTACTACATCCTCTATATGTAGTGAACTCTCTAACAGATGCTCGATCAATTCATTTATTCGTCAATCACTTGCTTCTGTTCGTCAGTCACCTACTTCTGTTGGTCAATCACCTGCTTCTGTTAGTCAGTCACCTACTTCTGTTGGTCAGTCACCTGCTTCTGTTAGTCAGTCACCTACTTCTGTTGGTCAATTATCTACTTCTGTTCTTCAATCATCTACTTTTGTCATTGCAACTCCATCATGTTCGACTTTAAGCACTCAGTCTTTTAGACTTCCTGATTGGTATGATGATTCTAATGCATCATTAGCCATTGGTATAGTATTATCTTCTCCTTTTTATAATCTTTAATATAAAATTTAAAATATTAATCTTAAACTTTCTTTTGATATGTACATTATTTTCTGATTTCAGAGAACGCGAATACTTCAATTGAAGACATAATGCAGTCTGAATCAACTGAAAATCTCACTGAAGAGAAAGAAAATTGTGGATCTCTTTGTGGAACAAACTTTCAAAAAACACGCGAAGAAAATATTGGTACCTTCTCTTGACAATTTCACGAAAAAGAGAAAAGCCAACAATGAACGCCTGGAAGAATTGCTTCGTAAATCATCATTAGCACTTAGTGATATGGCAACAACATACAAAAATAAAGCGACTGAAGAAAAACGAGAATTGGATCCAAATGCAGTTGTGATATCACAAGCTTTAAAATCTGTGATAAAAGAAAATCAATTATCTTACCTGATAGCTGTGTTGCAGCTAATCGAAAAATTTAAAGACTGAAACAATAGGCATGTTCTTTTTGGCTGAACCTTTGCACCAGTTCATCTTTTTTCCTTTTCTCTCCAGCAGGAAAGAAGAGGAAGAAAGATGAACTGGTGCAAAAGTTCTGCCAAAAAGAACAGGCCTAATATATTTCTTTATTTTCAATATATTTTTTATTTTTATTGAAATACTAAATCTATGATTTAAACCAAAATGTTACTTATTGTTAGCAAAGTTATGTTATGGTAACAGATATAGTTTATGGTTTCTAGTATGTTTAACATTCTTTTAAAAATTGTAAGTTTTGAGATTATACATTATAAAAGTCTAATGAGTTATATGTGACTTGTTAATGTGATAGTAAAACATATTTTCTTTTCATTAAAATATTAATTTTATAATGTTAACCAGTTATGTTATTTATTTTTAGTAATATTATAGCATGTTTTACATATTTGTTACATGTTAAATAGTGTGTACTACTCGCATATACATATAATAAATCCATATTAAGTAAATGGAAAGGTTTGTTTAATATTTTTTTCTTAATGAAATATATATACAAGACTGTAAATATAAAATTATGTGATTACATTACTTTCAAGTCTTCTAATTATGAACAAAAGAAAATGATAAGTTACAATATGTAGGCTTAACATAACTACACTATATAACAACTACATAAACACAACACACTAGTATACATATATACATGACATGAGAAACCATTTCATGTTTCAGAACCTAACGGTTGTTTCCTCTGCTAATTCAGCTTTCTATTAAATTGATTCCCCAAGGATTTCCAGCATTTCTTTGCATTATTGGCTAAAATACAGAAATATTGAGACAAACATGCAATAATTTTGTGTAGAAAAAAATAAAACAATTTAAAATTGCCTTTGCATCAAACAAGAAAAATTGACATGATTGGCACGATGAATCATTTGTGTTTGCCAGGGTACTTGTCCTTCCTCAGAAATCATCCAATCAGCTAAGGCATTTCTTTGAGTTACAGCGTTTCTTGTTGCACTATTGCAACCTAAGCGGCCAATATTGTGGAAGCTAGAATCTGTAGTTTCATTTCGCCACATTCCTGGAATCATTGATCCATCATGGTCTTCGTAATCAACGTAACTTGTGGGAAAATAAATCTTCCTTTCATTTTCACAGTCCTCTCGCATCATTAAAAAAATTATGTAGACATAGTGTAGCCAACACTATTTTTTCTACATTTTCTGGTTTCATGCAGATGCATGAATGAAGAACTCGCCATCTGTTAATAAATCTCGATAATAGTCATTCATTAAGAAAAATATTACATTGTTCGGATGAAAATGTTAATTACCTTGATGTAAGAATACCAAAGGCATTTTCTATTATTCTTCGAGCACGAGACAATCTATAATTAAATATTCTTTCTCTATCGCTCTTGATACCTTTCCTTGAATAAGGACGCATTAAATCATTTCGCAGAGGAAATGCCTCATCCCCTACAAAAAAATAAAATATTTTCTCGTTTGTATTTGGCAATTCTTTAGGTGGAGGAAGATTTAGAGATCTTGTTTCCAAGGCTGTTCCTAGCCCTGAGTTAACAAAAATACTAGAGTCTGGAAGAGATCGTATAACAGGAAAAAATTTACAAAATAAATAAAACTTATCTCGAAACTTTTACTGTCATACAATTTTAGATCTGATTTTACGTACCATAATCACCAACTTCCGCCCATGTGAAACAATAATTTGCATCACAACATGCCCACCATCAACACCACACTAAAATACTTTTTGTAGTTGAAGTATTCTGAACCACTGATAGGAGGACATTGAATACGAACATGTTTTCCATCGACTGATCCGACACAGTTAAGCAAATCCCACCGATTATAAAAATGTTCAGCTGTTTCTTTCCATTTTTCAATTTAAGGTGCTGCAAGGTATAAAGGGGATAGAGTTTTCCAAATACATTCACATGTCTCTTGTATGACCTTATAAATGGTTGAAGCACCAATCCTATAGTATTTTGATAGATACTAGGGACTGTTACCAGATGCCAAGTAGCTGTAACAAGAAAATAACAGAAAAATATA